AAACACGTCCGCCCTCACAGTAGGCAACACGTACTTTTAAACAATATTGAACACCCCACCCCGATAGATTCTCTAAATGCCATTTCAATTACATTCTATTTCCATTTCAAATCCAAGATAAGAAGGACACCCAGGAAAGAATCGACATCCTAGAAAAGTAACAAACATTGTTTAATCTTCAAAAGGAATCTATTTGTTGTAAGAGTTCACCAGTGCCTGCAACTGTTTGGAAAACAAAAACTTGTTTAGAGAAAACAGGTTCTATTAATTAGCTTAACAGATAATTTAGATCAACTGTCCCTTGAAATATACGAAGAAACGTCGAAACTTCCAAAATAAGCTCTTCAGACAATTTTAAACATATTTTGTCTAATAAACTACATGAATATTCCGAATGGCTACACCGCTACAAGCACTCAAAAGTTGGTTTTTTAAAAAATGCTTTCTAGGCAAACATTTACATTGCAGAACCACGGAAACACGTCAATTGTTTATTATTTCCAAAAGAAATGAATATATTTGCTCACAGAGAAAAATTAGTCCAAAAATTAAAAAAAGCTGCCGAATTTACCCAATTGGGTGCTTTTTTTATTTCTGTGTTAATTGTTTGGTGTTGTGCACCATCAGCGCGTTCAAATTTTCAACTACACACTTCTTCTCCCCAACTGCAAATACAGTTTCTGATGACGCAGAGACTTCTTTCCAATTTCGAGCAGAACACATCTCGCAATTTCCTTCCGGACGGACCGACAGGCGTTTTCAAGAAAATTAACACTACTTTTTCGATATCAGAGATCCCCGAAACCGATATATCCTCAAAACTTTTGACACGAGTCTCTGCTGCATTACATAAAATATTGTATATTAAAATGTACCCCATTTAAAATGTGTCCCAGGAGGAAACGTTAACATTTTGGGAGGTCGCAGTATCGATCACTCTAAGGAAAAAAAGGGGAGTACATAAACATTTGTCCCATTCCGAGAAAACTTTTGTGTTCAGCATCTTGGATTTGGCGCGCAAAAGCCCTTTCCTCCTGCCGCACTACGCCAGTTTTTGAAGCAACTTATTCCGTGAAATGCCAGTTGGCCGTTATGAATGCTATTCCACTCTAGATGCATTGAACAAAATGCCTCCCATTTTCCGAGATAAGAATATGTATGGGTTTTGAGATGGTTCGACACCGACGTTTTCTTATCCGCCGAATTATATATGATGGAGTGTTTTCCACGGTGTTGGGGACATTTCGTGAATATGGTACCATACCATCTCGTCTTTCGACATACTAGGCCTCTTTTTTTGACGAATACAATTTGTAGAGGCATGCATTCTTCAAAAATAGTACGTAGCCGTACAAATAACACTAACATTTTCTGCACAAATTTCACGAGCACATCTGGTGAACATGGCCAGAATTATGTACAAACAAAATAAGTAATTGCTTAGGGGTCCCCATCCATGGGGAGAGAGGGAGGGGGCGCGCAGGAAAAGAAAATCATAAACTATCAGAAAAAGTTCTTAAATTCTTATTTCTGTAAAATAATTGTTAAATTACTGCACAAGAAAGTTAGCATTCGAGAATTTTTTAATGCATGATAAATGTTAATTTAGTATTAAGTACACATTAAGTTTTGCAACAATGTACTGACGAGCATTAAATGAAGCCGGCTTGTACCCATATCACCATGTGCAAAATCTACACCCAGGGGACAATAGTAGCCTCGAGAATTCTGACACTAGTTTATATTACTAATTTCCAATGCACGCAGAAACTGAAGAAAGAAAAAAACCACAGCCCCTGGCTATCGCAAAGGTACCTACAGTTTCGTTAAAAACCCAACGACTCTGGAGGAATTCAAAAGCAATGAAATTTTCGATTTTGACTGAAAAACTGCTCGCGACAGCTGACAATGCGCCAGCAAGGCTCCAAGAGGCTGCTCGTCAATAAATATTTGTTATTTACGTGTTGAGATATTAAATAGCACATATTTTTATATTTTTGGTATGTAAAAAAATGTTTTACTTTACAATCCGTACCATGTTATTGCAATATACGTGAAGTGTTAGAATATTTAATTTATTGAGAGTTATACAAAATAATTTTGTTTCTTGTTCTTGGGCAGTGTGTGTTCTGCTTTTCGAAATTCAGTTTTTTTCGGTATTGTTCAGCAGCACTTTTGCTGTTACATGCCACTACTTACGTGCTAATCGCCAATTGCTTCCATTCATTCCTACTGTACTCTGATGAAGGGAAGCTACTTACACCTGGGAACGTGAAGAGCATTCAGACAAGCGACACACCATGACCCCACAGGATTGGAAAATGCACCGATATTGACGGCGTGGTTTTCGAAAATGTTTTCCAGTGTGTAAACTGTACTACCTACGACTGTTGAAAAAGTAACGCCAATATTACAGACGGCGAGGTCCATCTCCGAGACCCTTCAGAATAAGACACACAATGCGTAACAGTAAACTATCTCGTCTCCCAATGAGGCAGATTTAATTTTTCCCCTCAGAATAACTGATACTACCACTGACTATTGACATTTCCTCCTGTGACATTCTATACAAGCAGATACGATAAAGACATTTTAAAATAATATAATACAATATAAACTTCACGTTTCCTGCTAGAATGCACATGGCACCCCGGGCATTAAATGGAATAAGAACACAAGTTAATTTATATGAACTACTAAATTAACCTGTGGAGTGAGCAATTTCAACAGGCCAATTCGATATTGCAGGTTCCTCACGCAACAAGTCGCTTACAATTTTTTTCTCTCCCGATTCCATTCAAACATATATGAATAAGTATTTAGTCACTCTCTCACACAAGCGCAAATTTTTACGCACTGAATCGAATATATATTGTTGTTTGTTTTTCTCTCGTGGTCTGTGTGGTGAATGCTTCGCAAGCAAAATATTTATCGCGGAAACGCCAAAGGCTTAACCCCTGGCATTTTGCCATAATCTCGCAAGGACCGCTCATCAATGGAATGTGGCATGTACTTCATAACGACAACGGTAGAAGTCGTCGTTTGTACAATATGAAATATGAGGAGGAACCACCATCGTTTATCCTCGACGTTCAAATTATCAAATAGGAAACGTACTTTCACACGCCCGTTCGCGCTTCCACGCAGGAATCCAACAGCCACACCCTCTTCTCCCAATACCAAAGTGAATGGGAGGTTCAAGAGTTTTGCAATGTCCAAGATACTCTATGACATCGTACATGAATGACATTCCAGCTATTTTCATGCCCTACGAAAGTCCTGTTATCTTTTCTTTCGTGTAGGCTGCTTCACTTCATTTTCCCACATGTTGAACAGTTATAAAGCATACCATTGTGCTTTCCTTCAAACTACGTTATCTTTAATAACGAGCTGGAAAGGATCATTGTTACTTCTTTAATGCAATCAACATGGGGCTATAAGTATTGCAATTGACACTCCTGTAAACAAACTACATGGACTTACGAATATTAATCGCACCACGCAATATATTGGGTATTTATCAATGATCACAGAATTTATTGAAGAAATAAACAGTATATCGCTAAGAACGCAGAGTGAAGTACTTGAGAAGTACTATCGTTGTGAGACGGTGAACATACCGTAGCAAAGAGGTATGCAGGTCACACTACCAAAACAAGGTCGGGTATAATGAAGCGATTGGACTAGCATTTACAATCAAATCTTCTAAGAACACTTCACTTAAACGTCAAAATTCAATACATTTGATCCCGATTATACCTCTCGCAACACCTGTTGATCTTGCGTCTTTCACAAAACGAACCCAATATGGGACGTGGACGGCCGCACCCATCAGCAAAACGTAAAATACACAGCTCAATAACAAACTTTGCACCTATCATCACCTTACTCAGAAACTAAATCAAGAATAATTGTTACTTTGTACCATCTACTCCATTTCCGCAGATGGATTATACATTCACATGCAGAACTAATAAGGTGGAATATTCGGCCACTCATAATTTAACCAATTTTTATTTTTTATACTACAATATAACTAAAACTTACGTAGCAGGGACGGTCCTTCTCCATTCTATCACCTGAGATGGAACTTGCCACCGCTAAACGTCTAAATGAAAGAGCTATTACAATAAGTTTTTATTTGATTATCACTTCACGTTTAGATCTCCACCACAGTAAAAATCACTTATGTACGTCGCAACACTATTGTAACACCTTGAATTGTACTTTTTACGCTAAAATTAACAGGTGGTTCGCATAAGACGCACTCCACAACCCACGTATACACAATACCAGTTTCGTGTTTCGAATAGGACGTTCTGAAAGTCTGGCGCTAGTGTAGCTGAGGCAGCTCTCGCATACCTGCATACCCGAGGCTGGCTGGTTCACGGGCTGGTTGCCGCGAGCGGCGAACGCTCAGCCAACCAGCCACCAGGTTGCGCCCACCCGCAATCTCACCTGCCAGGCTGTTCGGTCTCTCCAAGTAATATAAAATAATCATGGCGCGCTTAAAACTAGAAAACTTACGTACATGTATCAACTGTCAAATTGGACCTCTTCGCTCAGCACGATGCTCCTCACACTACCAGTCGTATGTCAAAAGCGATCATCTTATCTATTTTCCCTACATGTGATTTGATATCAGTACACTGAACAGATTGATAAATGATAAGTGTCTACAGGTAAGAAGCTCACTTCCCGTGTTGAAACACGCTTGGAGGCGGCAATTGGTTACGGAATTGGCGTAATCTTATTCGATTCTTTCTAGGAACTAAATTATCTACATGCAAAATTTCATTGTCAAGATAAGAAATGTGATACATTTGACATCCTTGGTAAAAATGAACCTTCCAACTACATTACTCTTACCATTTGAGCCTTATATATATTCGAACAGAAAACGAGAATAAACCTTGTCAAATAAATAAAGAACCCAGGTAAAAATGTCTTCATGCAACATTTACAAAGTTCTGTTCAGTCTATTATTCAAGAAGTAAAAAATATTTTTAGCTTATGAACAATGTTAATATAATGAAATAAAATATCCATCAAAACATCCTCATAAGAACAAAACTTTCTATAGAAAATCATCTCGATTACTGGCAGCTAATTGTATTCCAAAATTGAAGACAATTAAACGGTTCTTAAAAATTCTACTGCCCCCACCCCACTCCCTCCATGGGATTCTAGAATATTTTTTTGGAGTGTGAAAGAGAATTTCATTCCCACATTGATGGTTCCAAAATTAATGCATTGAAAACCATTTATTTTCCTGAAATGTGCTCAATTTGATGGAGCTACTATTCACTTTAATTTTGTTATATCACCGATATCCATATTTATTTTAATTCTGAAGGTTTCTGTAGCGGTAGTTCTACCTCAAAGTTGGCATGGGATGTTATGAAGTTGGTAAGCCAACATCTTTCATACATTGGGTTCAACATTTGTACTATTTGTTTAATTTTATATTACTGCATTAAAGAAGTATTCATTCACTAATTATTAGTCAGTTATGCATAAAAAACGTTCTTGAACAATGATTGGCACAGATCTATTGCTGTGTCCTCAAGTCTTGGTTGGAGACATCTACCATAGGAAATGGGATCATGTTCAGTTGTTTCTCACTTTGGTCGCATACTTAGCGGCCATCCATAAATTACGTAATGAAATTTGGAGTAATGTCAATAACCCTTCTCCCCCTGTAATGTGTGCTTCAACCTAAATAATTACGTAACGCTTGCAACACCACCTTCCCTTTTCAAATACATAAAGCAAAATAAAGTATACCACAATAAAAAAATTGACCTTTTCATTTGTGTTGTGTATTAAAATTTATAATTAAAGTCAGAGTAAATTAAAGTAAGATAAAATTAACAATTGTTATCAAAAATTGTGTCTATTAAGCAGAAACCTTCAAATATGAAAAAAGAAATTTGTCAGTAAGTCTCTAAATTGGTAAGTTTGTAAAGAAATTGCATAATTTTACCCAAATAAGAATGAGCACAAAAAATATGCATTTGCAATGAAATCTGGGCAATAATAAAAATAACAGCAACAAAAAGCCAAAGTAGGACATTAGAAAAAAGAAAACTAGTGGCGCTACAATGGCATGTACTTTCTTAGACATGCAGCAATTATGTCATATAAAACCAATTAAATATACATTTTTGAAATATTAAAAGATTACATCAAAATAATGTTTTTTTAACAATTAAATAATTGATTGTTGATGAATAATAACAATAATTTTAAAAATTGTACCTCACATTAAGGGCATTCCATTTTAAATGGTTCATAATTAAATAAATTGGTCACCTCACCATCTCAGAAAAAAATCATACTTTGTAAATAGATTCTATTGTGTTTTGTGGTGTTCAAAACTTTATTTTTAATTATTATTTTATTATTTATTTAAATTATTATATTTATGGTTTTGTAAATTACTCACTGGTTGGTCGTTGTAACTTTTTAAACTAAAATGTATTGGATTAAGTAAAGTCTGACCTACAAATCAAAGTGACATTTAGTAACCTAATATGTTTTTATTTGGGCAATATTTGCATCCAAAACTATGAAATGCAAATGAACAAATTTTGATTTTCAGGGAATTATTTTTTAAAGAAGGAATGGAGTTACAGGCTTAATTTTTTCTGTGCTTTTATATATAGAGTTGTTTTTGTTAACAAGGATTGAAGCACTTCTACAATCATTTGACTCAAAATCGGAAAAAACTTCGTGAACCGTCAAGGAAAAAAAAAAGCATATGGTAAATTCATTTCTTGATTGCTCAATCAAGGACACGCTTTTGTTCTAGAGTCCTAACAATCATCAGAATTTAAAGTATTGCGCATTATCATGGAAGGAGCAGGATTTTCTTTTGAAAAATAGTTTGGATGATAGGAATAAACTGCGGGTTAAATGCCAGAAAAAAAGTAGAATTGTTTCTCACCTACTATCAATAGGTCACAATAATTAGTTGAAAGACGTACATTTGAACAGTTTCTTTCTTCACTTCAGATCATTTGGATAACTGAAGATGTATAACAATTTCGATGTAAAGATTTCATGAAATTGAATAATCAGGCGATATTTACAGTTTGGTTCCATTTATCATAAGTGCTATTCCTATGATAAGAGTAGACTATTCAAAATCCGATCTTTTTTTTATTTTTATTTTTTTATTGCAGCACTCAAAGAGAACTT